ATATATATATATAAAATTGTTAAAGGCACGATTAAATGAACCGGCTTTAGGCGAGGAAGAACAGCAACAAAAGTTAGAATCACAGACGTTGGAGAGTGCTAGATCTGAGTTGTGTCCACTCCACCACTTAGCACGAACTTCATGAACTTCAATCAGATACTGAACATCCCTGATCCCAGTTACTAGTTACAAAATAGAAATAATAATATGCATGTCTCATAGGGTGTCTATGTAGATTAAATGGATACTTCAGGTAAAGTGTTAAATCAATGCCTGGCACACCATCAAGTTCAACAAGCACTAGCTGTTGTTATTGTTGTCATTGTTGAATTAGATGTAGGCCACATGGTCTTATCTCAGAAGACAAGGAGGCATGGGTTAATGAAAGCTAAAGGAGCTAAAAGGAGTTGAGATCAACAAACGTGCATCTAAACAAGGCCCTTATCTAATATTGTGCAACATGTACTAACTGCCTTTAAGTTAGTCTTTGCTCTTGGGGCAAAAAAAAAGCTATAATGTGCTACTTTTTACCCATAGCAAACTATACAGAATATAGAGTCCAAAAGACACCCAGAGTTTTCCCTAAGACACACAGGTTACCATACAGGCACAAACAAGAGTTTTGCGTACTGAGAAATTCAAGGAACCGATCTTGCAGTGGGGATGGACCACTGGACCAATGGCCGTGGTACTCATAGAAAATGCCACTCTTTTGTTCTCTCGGAGTTCCATAGAATTTAAAATGGGGAGGAAGAAGGGGGGGCAACTACAAAAGCTAGGAGGCACCAGTGAGTGAAGGCGACTGTGTTTTATTAATCCATGTGATTAATCCAGCATGCTAAGGAAGATTCTTTACAGAATCGAAACTTGCGTAGTTTGGATCCACATGGATTAGAAAACACTGCTGCATTCACTCGCCAGTGCCTCCTTTGCTTTTGCTAGCGTTGTATTCTTTAGAATCCGGTAGGGACAAAAGAGAAAGAGCATTTATATGAGGACTAGCAGCATAGGCACTTTGACAAATGTCCTTCTCCCCCTCCCCTCTACGAGACGCTTCCTGAATTTCCCAAGAATTAAGCTCTGGGTTTGTATTTGCATCATTCCCCCTCCCTCTCCAAAAGGCAAACAACTGGAAATTTCCTCCACTCCCCCAAGTGCAGATTTATGTCAAGCCATGACAAGCGTTTTTCACCAAGGGATAGGTGGATGGCAAATCCTGCCCCAAGCTCTTTGCAAGAAAACGGTGAGAACGGTACAGAGGCATGCCAGGTTCCAGTGGGAACCACCACTGCTTCACGAGGGCAAGTAACCTGAAAAGAGGCCTGTCAGAACCCGAGAGTTTTCTCACAAGTTTTAGTGTGAGAGGAATGGGAGCCTTTGGATATGGCAAAGAAAAAGCGAGAAAACTTCAGGGAAACGGAGGAGTTATCCAAGCAAGGCCCATTCAGGCTTCACCCGCCACAGTCAGCTGTAACGTGATTCTGAAACTGGCATGAGGTATGTCTGAACCAACTAAGGAAGGCATTCTGAAGCCATTTCGCCTCTTCTTATTATACTTGGGAGGAGCAAAAATCAGTCTTCCCTAAGAAGCCTCCATGGTCTGTAATATAGGGGTCTCCAAAACGTGTTGAGACTTTCCCGGACAACGGATTGTGTGCGGAGGATGCTTCAGTGCCAGCGGAATGGTGGTGTGGGTTAAGAATCCCAGAGACCTTCCCAAAGCACAGTTAGGAACAGGGCAAGCCCTTGACTCTCGGTTCTAGAAAGAAAGAATTATGGCTTGCAAGTGAAATCGGGCAAGTGCAGGAGAACCAGATCCCAGCCCTCCCTCTCACCCCTCTGCCCGCCATCTCTCATAGTTCTCCAGGCTATGATTCCTAACCCTACTGCAAAGACTGAGGCCACTGCAGCAAGCAGGAAACCTCCCCGGTGACATGCTGAGGTCACCTGGTTGCTGTCAATCAATACAGTTCATTAAAAAACAAAAACAAAACAAACAAACAAACAAACAAACCGTAAAGTTTATGAGACCTTTCTGTTCAAAATAATTTTACATTCTCCTTTTTCTTACAGCTCTTCCCAGTACCCAGCACAGTTTTTGGTACACAGTCAGCATTTAATAAATATTTCTTAAACTGCGTTACCAGCCAACTACCTTGTCCTCTAAGTAAATTCCTAATCTCCCTATTAAATTACAAGATCTGTAAGGACAATCACCCTGACAGATTTTCTGTGCGTCGCCCAGCACCTAGCGTAGCACCCAGAACATGGTAGGTTGTTGATAAGTGGTTGCTGAATCTGTGGGCTGTGGCATAATCGGCTTATACACAGTCTTGTCCTGTGGGTCTCTGGAGAGCATTATTAGTGTTCGTGTGGTTGTGTGTGTGCCCACAGACACGTACACAGTCCTGACTGCATTTACATCTATATTGGTATATACGTCTGGCTCTGAAAGGGGCAGCACCAAGGAAAATAAATTTTGTCAAGTTAACACTCATTTGGAAAAAAAAAAATCATTTCTAAAATATTCTGCTGATTGACCATCTGGGTTCTCATCCTTTAATTAAAAAAAATATATATATATAAAAATAAATATATATAAAAAATATATATAAAAAATAAATATATACAAAGTTGTACTCATACTCTCAACCCTCATTTTCTCATAGGGAAGCAATAAATAAATGTCACACATTTTTCAAGCACTGACAGTGGCAATTATTTTCTTTGTCCCCACATTGTATTTTGAAAATAATTAAGAGGTTGGCATATAGTTTTATTAAATTGCTTTAGTTAGATGGAATTAAGCCTCAGTTACTCTTTCTTTAAAACCAACAAAAATGGACAAAATCAATTTTTTAAGTAATTTTAAATATCTGCCATCGAAGCTCTAAAATACAATATCCTAATTACTTCATTAGTCCTTTTTGGGGAATCACTGGTTTCCATCAAAGGAAACTGGATAAATAAATTAAGGTATAATAAAAAAATATATGACTCTCAAGTTATAAGAAAAATGAATGAGGACGTTCTCTGTGTACTTCTGTAGACAGAGCTCCAAGTTACAGTGTCAGGTGAAGACAGCAAAGTGAAGAATGCCGCTTGCTGCTCACCTGCATGCTTATATTTGCTCATATACACACTCCTATTTGCTTAGAGAAAATGTGGAAGGATTCCCAAGAAACCGGAAAAAGTGGTTTTCCAGGGGGTGGTGGGGAGGAAGAGGACAGATTGAAACAGGGGTGAGAATAAGACTTTCCACTGTAGGCCTCTTTATATTTCCGGTTTTTGAACCATGTGATTGTATTACCCACTCTCAGTTTCCAAATTTTTGTAAAGAAAGAAGAGTATGAATGGTACCACAATAAAACTGTATTATTCCAGGTCTTTTAAACTATCATAGAATCAGGGAAACATTTCAATGGTTCTCATATCTACACACATGTAATAAACTTATTTATTAATAAAATCAATAAATACATTATAAAATAATACATCATCTAAACAAAACTATAGCAGTCATCTGCTTTATCAATTGTCCTAAAAAGCTTCATTTTCTCATAGGGAAGCAATTAGACATATAAGTTTACCTACCCTTCTAGGTGATTGAATTGGTCCGAGGTCAATGATACCAGAACTGTATAGAATATAACTAATGCTACCACACATCATTTTGACTTAACACAAAATGACACTTTTTGCTTGCTCCATATTAATTTATTCTAGAAAACCATCCCTCCCATTCTCCACCAGCTCCCCCACTCCATACACACAGTTTGTGTAATTTAAATGCAGTTTTCAAGGTTCAACGCAAGGATGACAAAAGTTGACTTGTATGCTCCGTTCCCCTAGACATTCTAAATGCACTAGGAATGAACTTGGGACTCAAGTTTGACAATCAGAATCATTGGATAGGAGTTGAGAACAGTTATGAATGCAGAGCAAATAGGAGTTTCTTCACTTTTAAAATTACAAGCTCGAAGAATCATATAAGCCTATACCTGAAAATAAACCCCAAATGAAGATTAGGTCAACATGAAGATTTTAAAAAAGAAAAAAGGAAGAAAATCATGATAATATTGGTGAATCCTAGATCCAGCCATGTTTTGAACCAGTCCACCACTTGGATTTTCCAACTTTAATAAGCCAATGAATTCTCTTTTGTTGCTATTTTGAAACACAATTCTAATGTTCTTCGATAAAGTTTTAATGCTTTTTACCTACATATATTCCAGAGTTTCTTTAGAAATCTTGGTCTTTCTTGGGATTATTTCTTAATTTACCTGGATAACGCAGAAAACGTAGACTGCTAAATTTAAGAGATTCAGAGAATTTCTTCATGTGACCGATAAATCTGGAGCAGGGCAAAGCAGTTCTCTCATGATGAGGGCTGGGCTATAAGATACACAAAATAAAATCAGGTCTATAGCTGCAAAAATAATCTCTGCCACCTGTAATTCTTACTTCCATAATGGGTAATATTTTAAAAGCATTTTTGCTTCTTTATTCTTTAAATGAAACAATCCTAAAACAATTGCAATCGACTCCAGTGACATATATGTGCACGTCCTTCCCATATATTTCATTAAAGTGGCTAATTAAATTACTTATCTGTTTCTTCAACAGATTTTTCTCACATTACACTATATCGCAGACACTGTTCTAAAAACAAGATACAATATATGAAGTCTTTGGCCTTATGAAATTGACATTCTAGTGGGGGTGACAGAAAACCAAACAAATACATCTATAATGTATCAGATGGTGATTTTTCTATTGCTAAGGAGAAAAATAAGAAAAGGTAAAGGGAATAGAAAAATGTTGAGGGCGATGTACTAATTATATACAGAAGAGATGACTTCAGAGACATGGCGACATTAAAGCAGAGAGGGTGTAGTCATGTGATTTCCTGGGCTGGGGTTATTCCAAGCATAGCCAGTGGATAGAGGGCAGAGAGACAGGACACAAGGAAGGGGGTCAGAAGATTACGAGTGGGGTGGGGATGTCTCAAGTCAGGCTTTTTCAACTTGAAATAACCAAACCTAAAAATAAAGAAGAGAAAGAGATAAAAAGTTGTTGGATAATTAATACGAAATAAAGTCAGAAATAAGGAGCATCGGATTAGATTTTATTTAAAAACAATCCAGTAAACATGTAATCAGTATCAATTGTCCATTAGCATTTGTGTATAAATTTTATTGTTTGGATATAATTGGATATTATTATTTGGATATCAGATATTATTTCAAGTATAGTATTATTTGAATATTATGTATTTAGGGTGGTGTTCACCTGCTGGCTCTATAAAAGACCCAAACACCCCTGTGTGAGGGATTGAATCTTACCTGAAAGGTGAGGTTTTCCTCCCATCATTCCCCACAGCCAGGCCAGCCCCACCCATGTCCTGAGGAAAGGCTTGTATCTCAAGCTAGAAACTTTCAACTGAGTGAGAGGGAGCTAGGAAGGAACCAGAGTAGGAAGTCTCCCTTTGCTCTGACTACAGACAAAGGAGGCAGGATAGAACTGCAGGGTTGAGGCTTAAGAAGACACATTCCTCTTAAAAAGCAGAAAGTGAGCTGGAAATGGAATGACCTAGGCCAGCCTTATCAGTGACAGTGTGTGGGAGATTAACTGAAGAAGGCTCAAGGGTGTACTTTATAAATCTTATCTGCTGTCAGCTTTTTCTTCATTTCTATAATTTGCTTGGCTTTAATTGATGTCTCTTTGGAAATGCTCTTAGATGAGCTAAGAGAAATGAAGGGAAGCGGCTTTGTAAAAGGAGAGGAGCAGTAGGGATAGTAAGAACCTAGAAGGTCACTCGAGCATCCTCCTACCCCGTCTACACCCAGATGCACTCATAACCGAGACTTGTCACCCCCCACCCTCTCAATGTCCTCCAGACTCATTCCTCCTTTCTAGCCCTTCTGCCTTAGCTTCTCCATCCATTCCCTGCTTGAGGTTCACCTCAGTGGAATCCTCTTTTCACATTCTCTTTCTAAAACCCGATATAATAATTATAATAATATATATGGCACACACCTCCTTAATAGTGTTTGATGGCTTCCCATCATTTAAACAGTGGTTCTCAAACTTTACCATGCATAAAAATCACCTGGAGAACATGTTAAAATGCAGATTTTGATTCAAGAAGTTGAGGGTGAGGCCCAGGAATGTGCATGGTTAACAAGTATCACAGGCGATTAAAACAAATAGTAAGTAGACTTGCATCACTCAGAGTGTGTCCATCGATCGGCATCATTAACATCATTCGGAGCTTGTTGGATACAGAAGTTTTCTGCCTCCGCTCCCAGCCCCACCTAGACCTGCCAAATCAGGATCTGAATTTTGACAAAGTTTCCGAATGATTTGGATGCACCTTAAAGACATAGACCACACTTTGATCTAAAGAATAAAATATAAAACCTTTTCCGTGGTATAGGAGGCTGCTCCTGAGCCATCATCTATTCATCTCTTCCCCACTATCTCACAGGACCCTCTCTGTGACCTACATAGGACAAACTACGGAAACTGGGGCACCAAAAAGCTAAAGCAGTGACTCCATCTTCTCCATCTTGGTCACCCCAGTGCCTAGCACAGTCTCTGCTACATAAGACATGCTGCAGTTGAACCAGATTAATTTATATTTTAAAACACATTTTGAAATACAGTATTACATTCATATTGTATCTTTCATCAAGGTACGATTTAACTGGGATGAAAAAGAATGAATGGAGAAAAGACTGTCAATGTCATGAGCCCAGACACATTTTACTCCTTGAAACACTGAACATGTGGTCATTGGGGAAGGGAGGGGGTACTTAGTCCTGTCTGCGAAGTCCTTGCTGTTCTCAGTTGATTTACTGCCTGAACTCAAAACCATGCTCTATATATTAAAGCACAACCCCCACCTTTTTTTTTTCTTGTTTAAGAAGAGCAAACTTTCACCACAAAGATACAAGAACAGTAAATATTGATCTTCTTGACGGATGGTGCACCTCACGCCACAGGCCACTCAAGCATCTGCTCATTACCACCCAGCTCTCCCGTTTGTGGGGGAAATAACGCCAAGTGGCCTCCTGTGCTATCGGCTGCAGATTGCAAATATTTAAAAGAAATAAATTTCTCTGAATGAAAAGCACCTTTCTTTGTTCTCCAACCCCCTCTCCTCCCAAGTCATGTTGATTTTGGGGCTGTGCATACTGCCAGCACCTGTACTTTTCAATTGTTTGCTTGCCAAGATCACTGTGGTTTTCTTGCTTGGTTTTAAGAACCATTGTAAGTACAGTAGCCAATGAAGGTATATTTTCTTTCTGTCTTGGCAATCTCTAAGGGAGGCACCAGCTTCAGGACACCTAACAGCAACTGTAATTAGAGGAGATGGGAAGAGAGGAACAGAAATTGGAGCTCCTCTATCTGGATACTGTCCCCATATGACAATGAAAATGGAACACCACTGTAGACCAAAAAGAAAGGTTTGGATTTCCTCAACAGCCTTATTGTTTGGCAGAAAAGTTTTTGAACTTGGTTTTACTGAAATCCAGAACCATTCTTTCAGTGAACATGAAGACTTGCAATAAAGAATAAGAATGGAATTTCTGCAAGTGAATATTCGAATTGTGATTGAGAATGGCCACTTAGACTATTACCCGCAGGGTCTAAATATCAATATAGAATAAAATCATTATTTCTTCTACATGAAGCATTATTTACCATTTGATTTAGTAGGATCATGCCCTATGTGACCTTGGTCACTGCCCTTAATTTCTTCCCACTGAGTCATGTGACAATACACCACTAAAGTAAAATAAACTGCAGCCAGTTATTGTGATCCGATCAATATAGATAACAAACTGGTTATAGGGACAAATGAGTAACGTGTAAAGCTTCACCCCTTCTCTTACCTGAAGCTGACTTCTCATTCAAAGAGAGTTACAGCCTCATTACCACCATTGGGGAGGATATTTGTCACTTTTCATCATATGACTCTATTCTAACTTCAGGAGCAAGTGTTTGAGGGTCCGCATGACTCCAAATCTTGATCCACATGGTTTACCCCAAACTTCAGGGGTAAAATAAATGCCCAGATCCAAGCACATCAGCACATTAAATTCTGTTGGCTACAAGAACTGATGTTCAGAACCAATAGGATATAATGAGCTTTTGTTGAGACTTCCAGGATCAAGGTTTGACTGAGAAATGGCAGAGTCTGGGGTTGCCACAGCCATATTACCAGCATGAAACAGATGAATTACCTTGGGCTTTGAACGACTTTTCTGGTAAGAAAGCTTGAGTTGGGTGAGCTGTACTCGCCTGTCTGCTTTACTTGGTGCCCAGAGACCTATAGTTGTGATATGAGGGTTCAAAATGCAGTATGTGGAACGGTTTATTTCACTCTGTGTAAAACTGATCAATTCTAATAAGGACGGTACTGATAAGGACGATGCAAACTTTGCCAGCGTCATTCTTCAACTAGTTGAGCCAAAAAAATCTTGGTAATTTATTTATCCCAGAAATGAAAGAGATGATACTTGCTACGAACACTTACAACTAAAATAAAAAGGTATTTTGGTTTTGTCAGTGTATGTAGTGAGTTACGGAGTAAGAAGATGAAACCAGTCTCCCTATTTGCACTGGATGAGGCAGATCTTCATAAAATTGCATAACGAGTGTTTTGAAGTATCTGAAAATCACTAAGCCACCTCTGGTTTCATGTAAGACAGCCATAAATTAAAGGAAATATCATACGAAACATGAAAATACCATTGTATAAATTTAAATTTAAAATTAAAGTCAGATTTACACAAAACAGATTTGTAAGAAGAGTTCAATCTTTTTGGAAAACTTGTTCTGCGAAAATCATCAGGTCTAGAAGTATTACAATCTCTATTTTGAAATGATTTATCATAAACTTATTCCCAGTGTTGTCATAGTCCATATAATACTCTTAACAGCTTTAGTAACAGTTGTATCAGCAGATTCTTCTCAAAATCAAAACTTATCATAACTAATTTGCAATTTGACTAATCATTTATATTTAATAGGAAAGCACTAGAAGGCTGACTGCAACCTCTGGATTCACTTGAGCAGGGCTTGTTGACTATTGGGCTTCCCAATAGCAGGGCAGTGAGCCTGCCTTCCCCATAACGAATCCCTCAGTGTCAGAATGAGACAGGCTTTTCTCTGGTTTCTCCAGAAAAGAATCTCCCAAATGCCAGCCCAGGAAGTATTTGCCTGGCTGACTGCATTCTGGGAACACAATGAGGGGAAGCAACTGAAAGTCTCAAAGACCAATATCTAAAATTTCAAGAAATCCCTGTTTGGTGGCCCCACCTCAACTCTGAGCCCAGTGTCTCTGGGTTGAGAGCCTCTCTAATTTAACTTTGCAGGAAAATAAA